TATGTACTGGTTCGTCAAATGCAAGGTAACTAAACTACGCGGTGTCTTGGATACATATTTCCTGAGAAGCGGGCAGGGTAACAAAAGTGATCTAGTTTTAGCCACTTAATATTTATATTTTACTTCATGACGAAGGATTAATTGTTTTAAACAACAACAAAAAACCAGTGGTTGAAAGGTACACAAACGCGACCGCGTCTGGAGTCACTCCCGAAGACCAGAAAAAATTGACGTTTCTTCCGTGGGTAGACAAGTAGTCACTATATACCAACGTGGGTTAGATCATTTTGTGATAATCTGGCCCGCTGCATNCATACCTCTCCGTAAGACAAGGATTGTAGTTTTGGCTCGCGGAGTGATGGATCCGAAAACGCATGCAGGAATTCGCCATCACACAACACCTCTAACCACATTGGTGTCTCAAATCTGTTGATTGTCTGTTTACAGTAGGTGATACGGAACACTAAGAGAGCCGGGGAATTTGACCGATTATTGTCTAGGTTTTACAGTTTGCAAACGAACAACAAATGTGGATCGATAAAGCAAGAAACTGTGCGTTTCAATTCATCTATCCAGACTGTGTGCAACTCGTTGGCCCATATATTGATTAAACTATCTTTTTTATAGTTTTAAACGGCCTTGTTCATTTTACGAACATTATTTTCCCGAGCGAATACTATTCACTGATCCGGGACATGTACTATGGTGACATTTTTAGTGCCAGATAAACCAACAAGCAACACCGGATTTTCTGCGCCAGGTCATTTTAGGGAATATTGACGACAGTGAAACAAATAAAAGGCTGGTATCATATTATTTTCCACGCCATATAAACTGCACCGTTTCACGTTCTGAGACTAGTTAGTTCTGAAGCGTCTAACTCTCTGCACTTTGGATCTCACATAAAAAAATGTTACCAGAGACGAGAGGACCGGGATTCAATAAGGCCTCAACTAGGATTGACCCCTGTGCTCGATTGGGAAAGTGTTAGAATACCAACCACGACCAGTCGAACTGCTAGATGTGCACTGTACCCTTGACAAATATCGTGATGACCTAGGCACACTCCTCATCCAATTTATAATACACCCTAGATCGTACGCATTAAATTTGTCTGGTATTGGGTGTATACGATTCATTGCTGCAAACTCCATATAGAAAGTGATCGATGCGTAGAGTCTTCGTTTGACAAATCAATGTGACCTAGCATCACGTGACGCTATAGTAATAGTACTTAGGGGTTCTAATCTCTACCATCGACCTCGAAGTGGGCTCCAAGTGAGTAAGGAACAATTACTATCGATCATAGTTCACCGGAGGCTATTTACTGATATCAAGGATTAATGCATTTTATGAGCACATATGAGGGCTAAATGATACAATAGATTCAGCTCTAAAGCAAAAAAATGATGTGGAAATGTTACAAAAGACTCGAGGGTTCGGGAGCGATAATTGTATCACAGGGTTTATTTCTACTTAGTAAGAGTCAAATGTGAGCATGGCAAGAATCTATCTGAAAGAAAAGATGTAACTGTCCAAAAATAAACAGTCCTTTCTTTATTGTTTCCCTCTTTGTGGAAGTTAGATTGGAGGTGGAATCGACTGAATCCTGCAACTACTTTTAACATATCAATGATTTGGATCGTGCCAGATCCTTCGTCCGTAATGAAATAACAGAAAATCTTGCAACTTCCCTAAATCTTCACTTGGTATCTGCAAAATCTAGAGCAGGCGCCAATACCTCTGCTTAAGTCATTTTTGAAATCACATGCCATGAAATTTTACGGAAACAGAAAAATGACTGTCCTGATGAGCACTGCTTCTCGTGGTAGACTTGTGCAAACAAGTGTCAACGGCATAAAATCAGTTTTCGCCATCGGTGTACTTTTACCCGGAATATTTTGAAGGAATAACGTATAGCGATGCCAAAAGATCAAGGAATACGGATACCGAGTTTGCCCAGAATTCGAATAAGAATAGATTTATCAGATTTAAATCATGCGTACAGCAGGATCAATCAAGTCTTCAGCATCCGCGAGTTAGACGGGTTCCATCATGTGACACATCGCAGTGTTATGGGCCGTATATACAAGATTTGTATGCCATTATGATACCCCTGGTGGACACTTTCCACTTGAATGAACAATGAAAATGATAATAAACATCGCAGTTCTTCACATGAAATACGCACCTTCTGAAGTTCTTCTATTGTTTTTGCCAGTTGTCCTTGTTTTTCCTCCGCTGTAATGCTGTCACCTGTTATGAAGGGATTGGCACCAATGAGCTAAAAGAGACGAAGACGGGGTATGGAAATGAACTCGATTGGTAAGGGCAACCGCTGTTTTGGTATTTGGCTATTTGGGTTCAGCTTATCGGTCTTTTGTTTGGCTTTCGCCCATGAG